ATATTATACACATGCATGCTTATATATAAAACTATATATATGTCTATAAACAGGTTTTGGCTGGGACAGAGTTCATTTTCTTCATAGTAGCTTGTATGGTGCTATGTTTTAGATTTGTGATGAAAATAGCGTTGATAACATAGGAATGCTTTGGTTATTGCTGAACAGCACTTCCGCAGCATCAAGGCCTTCTCTGTTTCTCACTCTGCCCCCACAGTAGATACACTGGGGGAGTGGGGACGCAACCAGGCAGATGACCGGAACTAACCAAAGAACTATTCCATACCATATAACATCCTGCTCAGCAATAAAAGGGAAAAGAGGGGGTTTTAGGGGCATTAGCCAGCTTTTACTTGGGAACCGTCTAGGCATTGGTCTACCCACAAGAGGTGGTGAGTGACAGCCTTTGCATCACTTGTTTTGCTTTCTTCTTTCTCCTTTCACCTATCTTTCAATTATTAAACCATTTTGTTTTATCTCCACCTCCAAGTTTTCTTCGTTTTATTCTTCCTTTCCTCTTCCCCCATCCCACTGGGGATGGAGGGGGGAAGTGAGCGAGCGGCTGTGTGGTGCTTAGCTGCCCATCAGGGTTCATCTACAACAATATGTATTTTGCTTCTCTCAAACAATTTCTCAAATACAGTACTACAGGATATAATTATTTGCTACAAATTATCAGAGAGGGGTAAACATTATTTTCTACTGCTGTTTTATTGATTCACTTCCTGAAATTAGGAAGCTTCAAGGTTAATTGCACTGTTTAAAAATTCATTTTACTTAAACTGCATAACTACTGCAGTGAGATTGAAAATCACCAAATTTACACAGAGGAAAACAAAATAATGCATTCAAAGAGAAATGAGGCAGATGACATTCACATCTACTATTGCAAGACTGTAGAGAGAAAAAAAGTAAGTATTTTCTAGGCTGATAACCTCAATGAACTTACATTATTCTAGAGAGATGAAATTAGCATCTTTTTTACCTTGCCACAGTGAAATTATCCGGAGGCAAAAGCCGAGCAAGTTGAATAAAGATGTGATTAAGAGAAGCACAGAATCCACACCACTGCGCATAATAGAGCAGCAAGACATTCTGGAAAATGAAATAGAGGAGTTCGATTATCCATTGTAATTAATCTGCAGTAAAGGAGGACTAGTCTTCACAACATCTAAAACTTGGAACCCTAATAAACTTTATTATAAGCTATTTACTGATACCCTCCATCTACTGAGTTAACACACAAAAGCTCTTGGGGAATTCTCTTTCCATGAAAAAAAAAAGAAAAACAAAACGAAGCGGATTATTCACATTATTTAATTTAGGATCAGTCCCTTTAAGTGAAAATGCACCGAACTTTACTACACTTCCCAAGATTCTTTTGCAATCTTAAATTCCTATGTATCTAACAGTGACTGTATACTTCATATGGGAGGGGGCAAGGGGAAGATGATGTCTAGATGTCTGCTTTTTGCCTCTAACTAACAAAGCAGGAGTTAGGGCTGCTGGAAACCAATTACTGGAGATGCATACATTCACTGCAGACCTGAAAGACAACGGATATTAATCCTTACTATCACATCTTTAAGAAATTGAAGTAATTTAACTACTGTTCAGGATGACATCTTATGTAAAGCAATTTCATGGCATGCAATTGGAAAGCTTTTACCTGTAAGAGTTTTGGGGTTTTTGCTGTGTGCTTTCAAATAATGCCTTAGGTTTAAAACCTTCTATTTATTTTTTTTATTATGTCTACTTTGCAATAATTTCTAACTTTTTTTAAAGTAAGTTTTTAAAAAAAATTGTAATATATAGAAAAAAGTTGTGGTGTATTTATTTCTTTTGAGGTATGAAACACAGAAATCAGAATATTCTTCAATGTTACCTCAAACCCTATGTATTTAACATGTGGTCCTGCTACAGTGGAAGAAAGCAAAAGGAAAAAAATCAAGTCACAGACATTTTGAGTTTTTTTAAATTAAAATCTGTATTTCAAACGCACAGGAAAAACACCACAGCTCCTCCCCCCAGAAAAACCCAAAACCAACCCCCAAAATCGCACAAACCTTGAACTGTGGCAAAACACTGTCAGGGAATCAGTTGCACTGACTTTTTGATTATTTTAACAGCAGATTATCTTTCGCAGATTTACTTAAGATCACATTATTCCAAATTGCCTTTTTTGGAAAAAAGGCTTTTGAATTGTTACAAAATAACATATTTTATGTTACAAATAAGCAAAGCACATCAATGTAAGAAAAGAATGAGACCCCCTCCTCAAAAGTCTGAGCAATGATTTGCAAGAAACTTTTTCAGTAATGAGGTATACCTTTTCACTCAAAAACACGATATCATTAAAGGTATTAGTAGTCACTTCAGTGATTACACGCTGTTCATGAAAATGGACTGAAGGGTCATCAACAAGATGCCTTTTCAAGGGACTGTAGAGAATACTGAAATTTTTTATGAAGTTCTCTGAAATGAAATTGATACAAAGAACAGTTATTTCAGTTTCATAAATATGTGATTTTGGCAGTGTTTACTTTGGAATTCAGACAAACTGACAGAGAAAATACAAATTCAAACCTGGTTTCACGTCATTAATTTTTGACAGTTTGGTATCAACTCTTGAGTAACCACCACTGATGTGAAATTTCACAGGTTTTTTGTTTTGCTCATTACAGTCTCCTTTTCACTTGCCACACTACTGTCTAATCTTGTTTCTACTCCTATTCAATGTTCTATAATAATTCTCTGCCCTCCTAATCTAACCACACACCTGGTAAGTCATAAATAGCATCCTATCGCCCCTTTTCACTTTCTACATAGCATTGAAGTACTTGGCCCTTTACTTGAAGGCTCCACTTAATTCCACATTTATTTGCATTTATTCTTTCATTTTTAATTAGTTTCCCTGTAATTCTCCTTTTGCTTTAGACCTTTAAAGACTGTGCTATTCCCATCACAATATGACCAGCCACCTTTTATCTACCAGTAACCACCTTTCGCTTCATTCAACTTTCTCCTTAGTTTTAAGATATTTAACAAGTAGCTGGCCAGCGGTAGAAGTTTAAAACAAGCTCCAAAGCCGTCAACTACCTTCAGCTACACTACTCTGAGCCTGGACCATGTTCTCTAAATTGCTGCAAGATACTGACTGTATCCTTCTTTTCAATTTAGATAGAGAAACATTATTCTATGCATTATAAAATAAGAGTATTCAATAATCAAGACAAAAGATATAATAGCAAACACACTAAAAATAATTATTTGATCAATTAGAAACATCTTGTGCTGGTATTTCCAGTCCAAAAACTAGGCCCAAGTAAAACTGGCACTTTTGTAAATACATACAAAATACCAGATCATCAAGTTTATCTCTGAAATGCAAACAGCAGTACATTTAATTTTGTATTTACTGTTCAGCATTTCATTAAATTCTTACACCAGATCAAACCAGTTTTTTTCTTTCTAGATCTCCAGATTTGGAGTATCTATGCATGATTAAGTAATAACTGAAAGGAGAGGGCTAATTGAAAGACAAACGCCTGAATTTTTAGAAACCATTTGTAAAAACTGAAATCTGTTAAAGGTATTAAACACAAATCCATTTTGTTATTTTAAAATATCAAAAGTTAAGAGGCTTAAGGAAGTAAAATAGAATTTTAAAAAACCCACAAAACCCAAACATAAATCACAGTGACTGCTTGACAAAATACGTAGAAGCAAAAATTTTCCGGAAGTTCAAATGACTTTGAATAGAAATATACTGAGTGTTACTCAACAGAGAAACCCTCATCATGCGCAGGAAATCCTGTGACCTGAAAAAAGTTTGAGACAGAAAGTACTGGGAGCAGAAAGGGGAAGGAAATTTCTCCCTCCTCACTCTGATCTTAATTTTTCCTAAGCATCCTTTTATGGTCACTGGGGTTTTTGTTTGTTTTTCCAGAGTGTTTTTCTGAGGGGTTGGGATGGAGACAGGATATAGGGCTGGATGGGACCCTTAATAAGAACATGGCTATTTGTTCTATGTTGTGCATACTTCTGTATTTACAGATTTATGGCAAAATGGAAATGTAATTAATGCTATAAGAATTATATTGATATACCTTCTTGAACAATTTATTTTAATACTATGTTCACCTGAATTTACTTCCATGTTTACTTATGCTGCTAACATCAAAAAACCCTGCATTTTCTGAAGGTGGACTCAGTTTTGCACATCATCATGACAGGTAAATGCATGTGGTTAGGCATGTTGTGTCTTATTCAATAACTTGCAAATAAATCAGAACTGCGATCACTAGGTTGGCTGGTTTTATGATTTTGGTTTTTTTCTCCTCCAATTCAGCCACAAAAAAGAGTATTGACAGAGTTGGCCAAAACCACTTCAGAGCTCTACCTTGAAAACACACATACTTTTCAAAATAAATTTAAAACAATTTGTAAGTTTGTTTCAGAAGACATATCTCTGCTGATAAGTGGGCGGTATCTCACGAAATTCTGGGATATTTTAGTACATGGAACAGCTGAGCAAATACCAACACCACCATTAATAATACAAATGTCTTCTGTAATATCAAATGTGTTAGATGCATAGTAATTTTTTTTTTTCCCCCACAAGCATATCAGTTTAGATTTTACCAATTCCTTCAATGCATCAGGCAGTCAAGAATCACGTATTTTGAGGTTCACTTCTTTTAAAGCAAATTACTTTTGGTATAAGAAACTTAGTTCTTACGTCACCCAGAACACAATTCTCCTGCTCGATTAACTACTAAATAAATTAGAATAGAATAAATTACAATTCACAATGTTGACTATAGCCTCACTTTTCAAAATGGCATTAAGTTTTCCATTCATAAGCTTACTTGCAAACTTAATTTTCTTATTTCAAGCATTTGTATAGTGGATACCATACCCAGGGTAGATCCAACAAGTGATTGATTTTGATCCAGGACATAGTGCACTTCCTCTTTCAGGTCAACAATGGCGGCAAATTCCTTAAGATGAGTAGATCTTGATGCTCCTAGTCTCTCTGCATATATCCAAAAAAGATTTGAATCCAGTAGATAAAGATTCAAGGTTTTGTTGGTCCTGCAGCTCAGACCAGTAATGTTAGTGCCACTGATATGAAGGTCAGGAATAAAACAATTCCTATCCTCAATGTGAGGAATAGAATGTTGGGTGTTATCTTTCTTCCCATGGGAAGAAAATGCTACTTTGGGAGTCTGAAAGATGGTCTTCTCAGAACTAATGAAACTTAAAAAATGCCTGTTTACTGTCCTGCAACATGCAGTGTAATAGCTAAAAGGACTATAGAAACTTAAGAAATTGCTGCATTCTATGGTATTTGATATAACTTGAAAAAAGGTACGTTCCTGGAGGTAGAAAGAGTCCAAAGCTGCTTCTATCTCTAAAAAGTTACAGTGTGGCACATGGACTTTATTTGGTTTAACACCAAGGGTCTGGTTAATGCAAAGCTCACAGACATTGTGAGTTCTAGATATTGAATGCCACTGTGGAAGCACCACTGTGTTACAGCATGGGTACTTGGTTATTGAAAATGTTTCTGATAATTTCATGTGTGCATCTGGTACAGAGGAATCAAAAGCTGGTGAATCAGTGTCTCCTAAGTGCTGCAGATCTGGCTCAGCTGCCTGGCTTTTATTACAGCTGTGGTATTCCAAGGCCACTTTGGTAATCTACAGGGGGGAAAAAAAAATTTGAAAAAAGAGCAAGATTAACTGTACATGGTTCACTCAAATGCAGTTATCTGTTGCAGGTTTAACAACATATATGCAATTAGAGATGGAATTTCAGAAACATGAAGTTGACTACTTCATCCTTACAAAAAAATTATAGGAGGCTCTGACTTGATAACAAAGATAAATTTTTAGATATTTCAGCATGTAAGAATTAAATGTATAGAAGAACACTTCAAAATTTTTTCAGTCCACTAGACTGATCTCAAGGTCCTCTTTGCATCATATTTATCACAGTGCAATAACACTACATTTTAAAGTTAAATCCCACTACATGAAGCATTAATCAGTACAGGTTCCTGAATTTTCCTCATTTTCCAATACGAGGAGAAAATAAATAAAGGCATTCCCATATGAAAAGAGAACAGAGATTTTTCCTGGTATAGGTGGTGCACAAATTTGTAACAATCACTAACAGTGTCGAAGCAATGTTAGTATTCTCCCAGCCACGGGTGTATGGTTGTAATACTGCAGATGTACTTTGCATATAGTAACATGTGACTTACTGGGAGAAGAAAGAAAAAAGGAAAAAAAGAAAAAAGCCTGCTTCTCAGTGCAAACATTCCTGTGCTGCATCACCATTTTGTTTTTCATAACCAAGGGGAAACAAGCAGTGCAAGAAGGAATTCCCTTTCTAGGGGATAAATAACATAACATACAAGAAAGGAAAATGAAAGAGGAAGTTTTCTTTCATCCTCATCTATCACATTAAACATAATCAAAATACAGAACATACACACATTGCTTACACAAGAACACTTTGATAGGAATCATTATAATTATCAAAGGGATGTTGAAGCATCACATCTAGGGGGGGTGCTGTGTCACAGGACAGTCAGTATTAAATGTGGTCTATAGCAACAGTTTGTTACAGTCTTTAAGAATTCACTGTTAGATGTTTTCATCCTGAAAACGCTCAATTAAATACTTAAAAGAAACTTGACCCCTCACACTATAATCTAGCCTGAAGATTTTGACTACCTACATAGAGAAATATAAGAAGAAATTATGAACAGAAAACCAGATTTGCAATAAGACATCTCATTTCAGCAAGCTACTATCAGAAAAAAAATTTTGCTCTGAGAGCTTTCAACATACAACTTGACAGCCTTGTCCTTTGCAACTGCCTTACAGTCAAGTGGTTTCATTGCTTGATGAAACCCACAGGATGGCTGCAGTAGACATCTCTTCCTATGGTAAACAAGTTGTATAATATCTATCAAAGCAAAGCTATACAAGATCAACTGGAATATTTTGTATCACATTTTGCTATAGATAAATACTGCTATTTAGCAGAGTGAAATCTGAAACAGAACATCTTATGTTGCACTGATTTGATCTAAAGAAGTGGCACCTGTTACCAGAATGTTTGATCTGTGACAAGCGTCACTGAATTAAGTCTGCCAAAAATAAGACAGGTTAGTACAAGAATAATGTCAGTTCTTTTCCAGTCTTTCCACAAAGATTTCCCCAGCCCTATCTTGTAGCAGTCTAGATATTATTTTGTCTGTTTCTAGTTTGGCTAAATATTGTATCATAAGTTATTTTCATGTTTTTCCTCATTGCTTCAGACACTGCGATATTACTTAGGCCGCCTTGTGGAAACCACACATTCTAGGACACAGATGCCATGTGTATGTCAGCACTGCCACCAAAACTTAGCCCTGCTTTTCATCTTCCACAGACGCTTGCTTCTTGTTCCACACTGTCCTTAGTGCTATGCGACCACCACTCTGATGTACAGCTCTGTGATATACTAAATGGGACAATGGGTTCCAGCTGAAAAACAGCCCAGGGAAAAAAAAATATTTTTCAGCCAAGTTAGTTTCCCTATCTCATTTACTGCACAGCTACACAAACTCCTGTCCTAGGCAGTTCAGAAATGGAAATAATAGCAGAGGAAAAGTGGAACGTGACTACGGAATGCAGACAATACGAAAGTCAGATTAGTTCTGAGTAGTTTTTCAATGGGGCTGTATTTCAAGTAACACTGGTTTAATACAAGATCCGTTCTTCCTTGTGTAACCACCTTTGGAAAGACAGAAGGAGAGGAGAAACAGAATGGGGCGGACAAAACAAATCCTGCAATATTGGGTACATTCTTGCCTTTTCGTTTGAGCTATGTCAGCTGGAACAGAAGACCAAAGATCTGCACCTCTCACACAGCACTCACCACAAAAACAAGAAAGTCAAGGAAAAGAGTTAGGTGCTTGTTCTAAACAACTGTTGACATGACACAAAGGCACACTGTGTGGGATGCAAACCAGCATAAGGGAGTTGTGACAATATGGCTTGAGAAAACATGTTTTTAAACAAAATTGCATACTTGGAACGGTGAAATAAAATGAGGTATCTGTCACAATTAAGCTCAGAACCCTGACTGGAGTTCTCAAGTTCTAGTATTTCTGAAGTAAAAAAAAATAATTATTTCACTTACTTCATCTAAAAGAGGATGAATTTCTGCTAAGGGATTGTAAGGTATAAATATGAGAAGCGCTGGTCCTTTCTTCAGCTCATTGTTTAGAAGAAGGCTTTTTCCACCATGTGGTCTCAGCCAGCGTATGAGCACCTCTCGATTTTCTAGAGCCCACTTGCAAATGTTCTCAGCTGTATAGTTCATGATGTCATTTGGATAGATCTTGAAGCGGGGGGAAAAAATTATTTGCCTTCACTTGGTTTAGTAATGAATGCAGTTCTCAAATATGGCATGCTTTGTTACTGTAATGCCTAAAACTCTCTTTCTAAATTTAATGACGCTATCCAACGAGCTTCAGCGTTTCATATACCCTTTCCCTTTGGGAAATCTTCCCAAATGCTTATCAGATCATAGTAACACACACAATCTTTCAGGCAAAAAGTATTACCAGGGAAACTCCTCTTTCTTTTACTACATCTTTATGATCTTTACTTTTCTCACTAGTATAAATTTTCTTTATAAGTGAAAGACCTCAGTCTCTAAGTTGGTATCATCACATACCTTGATTTACGGCACAGCAGAAAACTTCTTCCCACTACTCATTCACCATATTAATTCATTTGAAATCAGTGTTTTAAGACCCCAACATCAAGACTGCATTTAAAACTGGTATTTCTTATTACTGAATGCAGGGAAAAGAAATGCATAATAAAAAGCACTCACAGCTTCTAGAGTCATTTTAATAAATTAAGGAAAGTTTATCTTAAATCATTTGCACAGACAGAAGTAGAGTTATGTATTTAGCAATATTTTAACCGAAAAATCCATGTTTTCCCTACTCTCATTTGAATAAAATACACATTACAATACTTATCTTCACAGAGTTTCCACTCATGGTAGCAGCGTGGATAGATAAGGTCTCCATGCCAAATAGCAAATCTAAATGTTAGTATTTGCAGTCTTAGTCTTCCAAAAACAAGGCACACGGATTAAGAGGAGTTATAAATTTTCAACTACATTAATTTGCATGATTTTTCTAATCAGTGTAATGTCATACCTTTAAACCAAAATGCAAGTTTCACTATTCCTACTCTCTCTCCACAAAATCTCTTTGCCCATATCCTCATTCAAGCAGCATCCTAATTCTCACCCACTGAAAGAGGTAGAAACTTTAAGAAAAAGTTTTTGTGTAGTCATTTCTGAGGTGCTTGGGTTTTTTGAGTTTTGTTTTGATAGAGATGATCAACTTGGGTCTTAGCTACCGTTTAGAACAGCTGCTGACTGGTAGAATGAAAGTGTGCACTACTGTACAAAAATATAATTCTTAAACATTCCGTATCCATGAAACACTTATTCATGGTCTACTACGACAGAGCTTCAATCTCCATGTACTGTCTCAGAGTCACTACAACATAAATACAATACTCACAAGAGATGTGTTGACATGTCTGTGCAAATACACGCTGCCTGAATGCACCAATGAGATCTCCTCTGCAACACGTTTATCCGTGATCACTCCAAAGCGTATTGTTCCAAGGTAATCTGGAAAGGCAAATTTTCAGTTTTGAAATACAATTATACACACTGAACTTCTCTCCTGAAAGCCTTAGAAGAACACCTTCAAACCAAAACACAGAACATTGCTGTGTAAAGGCACAGAAATCTTACTGAATAGCAACTGCCTATACTGGTGATCAAATGAAGTAGAAGATGACAAGGGCAGGCAACAAGAACAAACGTGTTCCTCTTCTGCACTCAAGGTATAGAGAATGTTAACCTGAATTGTCCAATTTCTTGATTTGCTTATTAAATATAGAATCTGGTATCACAGATGCACCTTGCTATGTGTTATGTCATCTCAAAAGCCAAGATGAGATATACATGTAAGTAAAATGTATGAACATTGACTGTTTAGATCATGTACATTTACAGTAAACATATACTATTTAAATACGTATTATAGTAATTCTATATTTATAAACATGTACACACAAGGATAGAATGCTTCTCATCTTTACGTTGCAAAGAACTACCCCAACATATAAATGAGGAAATTACAGAACGAAATATAGAACAGGCTCTATATCATATACCAAGTCAGTGGCACAGAAAAATCAGAATAATGGTATCAATTTCCTTCATTTGCTGGCTGGAAGAAACATCCCTAAAATGTGCTAATCTTAACTTCAAGAAAGTTCTATCCAGAATTTATGACCCCAAAAAAGTGCTATTAATAATATACAAAGTTTGCATATTTAAATGCAAGAGGTTTTGTATTTTAGATTATTAATGCAAAACAACAGGGGGAGAAAACCCTTCTCCATCATGCTACCTTGTACCAGCTCTGTAACTCCATCCAGGAAACCACTTTGTTGAACAAGTACTGACAAAGTCAAGTTCATCCTAATGCCTCTGAAGCTGACATTTAAAATGTTGCACAAGGCAAACACTCTTGGATTCAACCTAAACAAGTGCTAGTCTGATTATGGCTCTATACCGGTTGCTGCTACACATTTAGGTTTTGAGGAAACTGTATCTTAATGTATCCTTGAATAGCAGCCTGTCATACACTTTGTTCCATGATGGCCGATCACACAATAAGCCTTTTATGTAAGCAATCCTCAAATTGTAATAAAAGACAGTCTCATAATTAGAACATCAAGAAACATTCAAAAAGGATTAATTCCCAAGTTACAAAATATTGAAAAAAACTACTGAAGCCCATATACATAACTCATTCACAGATGCCTTAAATTATGAAAATGAAACTTTTACCTTTCTTTAATGAATGTAATGCTGACGTGAAGAATGTTAAATAACCAGGCGGTTGAGGTGAAGCATTGAACTCAAAATATCCTAGAACTCCAGGCTGAAATAGTAAGAATTAGAGTTAGTTAAGCTATTTTCAAATATAAATATATGGGGCACAGCAATTGTTTGCCTACAGTAAAACACAACAGATTTTACAAAGACAACAATGTTTACTGAAGAACAGTCACTTTATGCTGCAAGAAAAATTTTAATATTAAAAAACTGAATGGAAATCAGTTCTAAAGTAGTCATTCAAAAGCTATGTATGAGAGAGGGTTTTTATGGATGTAGATGCATAAGTTTCAAACTGCATATTTCCCATGTTAGCTATTAAAGTTCACTAAAAGCAATTCATATTTGCTTTGCAACTATTTTATGAGTCAGTTCCAGCACCAACATAAGAACCATAAGCATCATAAAGACTTCTTTTAGAATTGGAATATCAAATGTGATTTTTCAGAGTATAAACAACATAGTGACCAATTGAAGTGTTACTGTTTATGTTGCACATAATTAGCAACTAGATATGAATTCACACATTTTGTGTGTGAATACTTGAAATGCTAAGCCAATTTATCATCCCATCATTAAGCTATCAGTCATTGTAAATTCTTTCAGTATATCCCGCAGGAGTCAGTGAGAGACCAGCTGCACAAAAATAATGACAGAGCCCCATACCCCACCTGCGTATCTGTAAAGTTCTTCAAATTGCCAAACAGACAATTCAAAATGTAAAAGACTCATCCCTAAATAGGCTTACTGACTCTGCCAGGCAGAAGCCTAAATGGCTTCATATTAAATTCAGGAAGAGAATCTGGGAGAAGCCAACTTGGAACAGAGAGGCGTGTAGTCTTTAGATTTCTCTTGTTCCAAAATTTCAATTAAGTTTTGGTTTTAAATTTTGTAAAATATAATCCACTAAAAATTACTATGAATTATGTTTTTTAACCATCACTCAAATTGGCTTAATAAACTTTCAGGACAGAGTAAGTGATGGAATTTGGTTCTTTTGTGTTATTTGTTTCCCATTTCCACCAGTGCATACAGAAAGAGCATTTGATAAAGCCAGAGCATTGTAGGGATTGCTGTGGAACAAAAGATTCCAGACTCACCAATCACCCATTTGTGTGGCAAATATATTCCCACGTAAGTATTTTCATTTGGTATTTCAGAGGCTGCCTTATTTTTTTTGTTGAGTTTTACACATAAAATTTTTAATTTATTTTTAAAACATGAACACATATTTTACCTGTTACTGTCATTAGCGATAGGAATTCAGTTATTCATACCAGCCATATGAGTTGAACTAATTCAGTATGAATTAGCGATCTCAGGATGTTCACCAACAACAACATTGCCCATTCCAACTAATGACCTGCTCTTTTTAGGCAGGAATTATCTTTCATGAATGAATGCTAAACATAGGACCCTTGTTCATAAAGACTCCTTATAGGGTGCCCCAAGAAGATTATCAATAATAGAAGTGAGATATAAGCAATTTTTAAATTTCTGCAATAACAATTGTCAAGAAAGAAATAAAAATATAAATAAAATAGAAGTGAAAAAATACAGCAAAATAATAGCACTCATTCTTCTTTTTTAAACAATAAACAGGTTAGTAATTAGTGTCCATCTTTTTCCCCTAGTACCAAACTAAGACAGCAAAAAGAAACAATCCCTTATAAAAAACTTCTAAAGCAGTCAAGTGAACCAAAATAAGGAGACAGATAAGATGATCAAAATTTTAATTCCCCATTTCCTAGGACCAGTTTTGATTACCATTACTGTATGAAGTGAACTTATAGCACCAAACAGTGAATGCAAGAAGAGTCAAAAGTGACAATAAAATGTGACAAGCAGCCTGAAGTCAAATCTAGAAATATTTATAAAGTTACTAAAAAAGGTGATGTTCTGACTGCCAGTTCTGTTGTACACTAATAGCAACTTAAGACTTACAGATTGTGAAGAATAAAATGTTTCCATCAGACATTTTGGAAAGTGTTTTTTCAATAAGAAAAAGTTGCAGTAGAAGAATATATACTAATGCTATATGCCTAATCAGTAATCTGGTTAATTAATGTCTTTCTAATGATCATCCCAGAAGAGTTAAAATTTCCTCCCTGCAATTATACATATGAGGAAAGTGTCTAAAATGCTGTATTTCTTCTCAAGTACCATGCAAATTTTCCTGTTCTTCTGTCACAATGAAGACATTCACTTGCTAATACCAACTACTCTGTTCATTTTAACAAAATTGAACACTTCCAGGTGCTAGCAACCAACAAAGAATCTTGCTCCATACAAGTGAGATTCAAGTCTTACAGAAGAGATACCTCGATGATGTAAGTAAGAGGTTCCTAGTTTTGAATACAAGTATGCTAAGAGGAGCTTGACAGCAGCAACTCCCACTTCCTTTCATGTACGAACCTCCAAAACAATAACTGGTGTAGCAACGGCCACCTGCACACAATTTATGTGGGCATCTACATACGAGCTGCTATTGATGATCAGCTGCTTCCAGGCAACCATCTGTGTGGAGTTATGGTTAACTATCTTCATGCAGGCGGTTAGGAACAATCAGCTGAACAGCATATGACTTACTGCTATATAAAGCTATATAAAATACTGGAATGTGACATAGGGATAGTTTAAGGACACCACTTTAGCAACGCTGGCGTTGCTAGAGTGTACCTTACTGGAGCTTTTCTTTCCGTGAAACATTTTCAGTACCTGTCTCAATCCCAGTGTCTGCAGGAAAGGTTTTGGAACAAACCTGAGGATGTCAATAGTGAACAGTCATCAGTACCATCTCCTAATGAAACTCATGTATGGAAATACAAAATCATTCCTTGTAGTATAGCCCATTTCTTGCTTGGTCTCTACACCAGAGGAAGGGAAAGTGATGTGTGATGCCAATTAAATCAAATAAATAACAGACTTGACAAGAATCTCAACAATTACAGAACAGCAAGTTCATAGAAACTTTAAGAACTAACATAGATCTTCAGGTGAGTAATTCTTATTGGAGAACAGCCAGCATGGTTTTATTACTGAACCGTGCCTCAAGTCTATCACAGTTCTTTGAAGGAATGAGCAAGCATGTAGATGACTGATCTACTCAATGCAGCATACTGTAATTCCCCAAAAGCTTACAAGAAGTTACCAAACACAATGGGAGAAACTAAGGTGTTAAGGAATAACATGGAAGGTCCTTTTCTAGATAAGTAGAAAAGATAGGAAACTACAGGTAGAAGTTACTGGTTTTCCACAGTCAAAGACAGCTAGCCAGGATGTGTACTGATCCATACAGTTCAACATTTCTATAAACACTTCAGAAAAGGGAGAGAAGGGTGAGGAACAAAACTTGCAAAGGTTATTAGGAATCATCAAAACTACAGCTGACTCAGAAGAGATGCAGAAAAAAAAGTATTAAATGACTATGCAATGAAAGAGCTCTGAAATTTAAAGGCCAATAAATGTGAAGTAATGGGAACACAGAACAGAAAAAAAACCCCACAGCTACTGATTAGCTTTTACAATTAGATAAATGCTTTTACTACTCAATTGAGTTATTTCTATCCCAATTTGTATTTATTTATTTTTATGTTTTGGCTCTATTGCATGGAGGTAGGGGAGATTTGTTTTTTTCAGAATCTCAGACTTGTGCAGACAGGCAATTCCTGCCTCATTTTATCTGTGAGCACAGGACAGAAAACAGCAAGAGGAAAGGAATGTGTTATCTCTGGGGAACAGAAGCAGCAATACTACATACCACTAATTCTATACTGTAGAAATACAAATAAGAAACTGTTGATTGATACTAGATAATTAAATTTACAACTAAAAATCTGCTCATTTTCTAACAATGTTAAAATTGTGTATCCAGAACTGAAAGCAAATTCTCACATCACCATTCGACATAGGCACCACAGTACCCCACACAAGAGCAAGCTATTAAGTCAAATCCATTTCTGAGTCAGATCCTACACAGCTGGTTAATGCTCAGGAAGCATTTCTACACAAATAGAGCAAAGAAGAAAGCTGACACCATGTTAAGACACATGCCAGCTACCTCCCAGAGAGACCAACTCCTCCCCCACCTCTCCTGCAGCCAGAAAATGATGAGCTCCCTGGGCACAATTAATTTTCCTAAGTGAATGAAGCTTTTTGTCTAACTACAGAAGCTGCATGTTTTCTTCCTCTGTGCCTCAGAAGGATGAGGCCATTTCTAGTAGCTGCGTTAGTCAGATGAGGAACAACACATGCCAGTTTGGATTAAAATGAAACATCTCTGCAGCTAAGAGAACAAAAGAAGTCTGATTATAGGTACTTACAGGTACCTGGAGTTATGGTAGGAACTGTGTACCTTTCTCCTGATGTAACTTAGATCTTCCTATACATTCCAAGATTTTAACCACTTTCCAAATGGGATTTTTTTTTCCTTGCTCTCAAACATTAAATTCTAATGCTTACCCAGTTCTAGTCTTGCACTAGTGTAATTTGACAACCACAATAAAAACTTAAATAGTAACAGAAAATGCAGAAGCTTAACTTTTGAGTCAACCAGTTTTTTCACAGGGTTTGAGCGCCCTCTTGTGAGAGCAACACAGAATCTCACAATATTCTTGATTTGGTTGAGGAATGGACCTAACACCAGGTAACTAACACCACTTGCTCTTACATTTAGCTGGATTCTGTTAATCAGTATTTCTTAGAAATAAAAATATGCTAACTAACATTTGAATACAAGATAAAATACTGCTAGATTTCAATACCTCTTGGTGTGGTTCAACTTAGAAAAAAATGCTTTTAACATTTATCTTGGTACCTTTACAGTACTTCTTAGTTCAGGCATGCTAACATGTTTAATGGATTTTGATATTCAGTTGAGTGTGGGTAGAGCTCCTGGTTTTCTTTGCTAGATGCTTTTTCTGTCAAAAGCTGGCTACTGGAATTTGAACACAAGATTAAAGCACCAAAAGCTTCACAGATTAGACGGAAAAGGACAACTATGGGTTTGAAGTCCTATAATTGAGAGGCAACAACAAAATGCCCTTGAAACAAGAAAAGAAGGGTGCAGTAGCTCTTTTAAGTGTGAAAACACATGCTGAACAGAACTTCAGCTCGACATGATGTCCTGCAAATGAATCTACTAATAATTTACTAACCTATTACATACTCCAGATTTCAAATATTGCTCTCCTTGGACAGAGAAACAAAACAATGAGGAAAAGAGTCACTCAAAAGCGAGTGACAGGCAACTGCTCTGCAACCTACTGCTTCCTTAATATGTGAGACCTTAATACCAAAGCAGAATGAAACAGAATGGGCAGTGCCTAAGTGCAGTCTGGGGATCAGCTACGAAGAGGTTCTTTTCAACTGAAGTTTTCAAGTCAAAAGTAAATACCCCTAACATAATTTTGGGGTGAACCCATTCCTTAGCAGAACACAGGACTGAAAATGCTGATGATGACAAATCTTTCAGAAAATATTCTGCGCTTCAAATTAATTAGCTTTTCAATGAAGAAATCACAAAAATCTGATCAAGCAGTAGACAGTGGTCTAAATGCCCAATGATCTATCCTTTGCAGTCTTGTCTCTTTTCCCTTCTGCTAAAAATGAACATTTTTAATACATAAAAGATCAAAAATCATAGGAAGACACTAGCCAAGGTTCTCAAAATAGCAATTAGTTTGTGCCATACATGCACTTCCTGTAACCTACTCTATTCTTCAAACTTTCTCTTCTTAAGCACAGGAGTCACCTCCTGGATTGGATCTTCTCCTACAAAAGGTATAAAGTTCCTCTACTTTCAGGGAAAACATTAGAAAATGTTCACATTTCTAAGTGTTTAAACTGATGAAACAATGTGTTTATTTCTGGTTTAAAACTAACTTTTCCTTTGTGCCTGACTATGCTTCCCTCTCCATCCATCTTCACATACAATTCTCTTTCTTAGGTCTTCTCTGTATCCCAGCTCCTGATCACTCGGCATTTGCTTTTCTTATTGCACTCACCTGGACTTGTGCTAGCCAATGCCCTGTTCCCTGAATGGATCTTCCTGCACAAGTTGTTATTTTTGTATCCCCTTCCCCCCTCTTGCTTAACTTCACAGAGGCAAGACACTGAGCACCTAGTGCCACAGTCTGGGAAATAACCTCAGCCTTAAATGACTGCGGGGCAGCATGACAGATCAGACTCTATTCTTAGTCCGTTTCAGAAAAAAGAGCCAACAAACACTGAACATAAACAGAGACTGGGCATTTGGAGCCACCGAATTTGAAGCACAGGAAGGGGGGAGGTTTGGACATAGAAATAAAAATATCTGTTCAATTGCTAAGCAGTATTTAAAAAAATATTTTCTGGTTCCCCCATAAATTTGTCTTTTATCTTAGTCTTTTTCCAATGGAAGTGCACCTGCTACTTTAAAGCAAATTTAAGCTTAATGACACTATGCTTATTAATTGTCTTTTGCAGACTATCAAGAAATAATTCACATAACACAAACCAAAAACCAAGCATGGCTGTTTTCAAGTCTCTATATGAGGCAAAAAAATAACAAGAGTTTTAGAATGGCAAAACTGAAGCAGTGAAAAGACGATGGAGTTACTTGTGATCATAGGAAGTATCAGCATCAGAGACAAACGCACAACTTGCTACTCATGACTCACAGTCCCCACTTAAAACACTGGAAAACTAAACCCATGAATAGCTCCTGAGGGATAAACTGAAGCGTGAACAGCACAGCACCTACCCATGTAACTACCAGTGTGTGTCCCCTTACACCGTGGCAGCTTTCATCTAACAGGATGGTCATGCTCCATCCTGCAGCAGAATCAGTCATTTGAACATGCACTAATTCAAAGAGGAACTCTGCTTCATTCTGAAACACTAGAAAGTCCTTTGCATGTTTTGGCCACTACTACAGCATCAATTTGTTGATCAGGTTTTCCATTCTGCTCTAATAGCTTGGGGTTTAGCAAGATAATGGTATTTCTCCATTGTCCACTACAGAAATAAACAGCTATGAAGGGATTATAAATGGTTCTGTTGTAAGCACATTTTGTCTAATTGGAAGTTATTAATCCACTAGTATTGCTACCAATCTTGGCACCTTTGAACAGAACAGACTGAAAATTAATAAAACACCAGTGGATTAAAATCATGAAGTTACAACATACAAAGTGGTTAGGAGCTGTTATTTCAACTGATTTCACATTTGGTTTTACTTAACAGACTTATTTTATTAGAAAGCTTTAATATTCCTTTAAAAAATTAAAGCATTGGTTATGTATTTCCCAAATGCTTTCCCAACTTAGACTGCAAGATTTCTGCAAAAAGATTTCTCCCTTCTTTCTTGTTCATATGTAACTTTTCGATGACAACTTTGTTGTCTCTACATACTAAAGTACTGTAAATTAAGAGTATCACTGAATCATAAGAGTCACTATACAGGGCACCATCATTATGAATTTGTCATTTCATATTTTTATGATTTTAACAAATTTACAGGGAACTGATTTCAGGATCCTAGAAATAAACTGGTACTTTGGAGCAGATAAATTTAATTGTGAAACAAGTCAAACTCTTTCTGAACCACAGCCGTAAAGCTAGAGAAGAGAGACAAGTACCTCATAATTTGAGAGGAAATCTAGTAATTTTGATCGAGACGAGATGTAGAGTAGTGGTGTCATCACCCGGCGAACAAACTTTTCAATATAAACAGCACTCATAGGGCCTTTGTATTCAATTGGTCCAAAACTAGTACCAAAAAAAATAATAAAACATTAAGACTTAAATTAACAATAGAGAGAGTCCCTCCTGGGGGTGGCAGAGATAGGAGTTACATAGACAGCATGCTCAGCCTCTAGGGAATTGCCCTCTGTGTTAATTAACAGTGGCTTCTGTAACTGATAGAGGAGTTGTGTTACCAGACTTGACGTACAGCACCGAAATTGCAGCGACTCTAATGCAGTGTCTATGGGTAGGTGCAGTGGGTTGGTGGGGACGAAGGGAGTGAGACCACCTCTGAGTCCCATTAAAGAAGCTGGTAAAATGCAGGTATGAATTATACGATTGTATACATATCTTTCTGCTTTGTCCGAAGTAAATACGTGTGACTTAGGAACACAGATGTGAAAAAGTCACTATTTTCACTTGATTTTTAAAAATCTTTAGAAACTTGAAACAGTATCAGCCTGAAAAGGTGCAATATTTTTACATCGACTTTTACAAGTAGCAGTCAATAAAGCAGGGATGAATCCAGTCGCACTGCTGATGAACAGGCTCAGTGAGTCTACAGTTTCTCCCCCAGTCATCTGATGAAACAGCTCACACCACCTTAGGTAGTGCTAAAACGGAAGGTGGGCCGGGCCTCCGGGCTACGATTTCCAGAGCTTCTCCTTCATCCCCTTGAAACCCTGCATCTGATTTACTGTCATTAGGTTGGACAAAGCATCACAGTCCAAAATTAAATCAAACACGAAAAGCATGAGGAATTAGTCCATTCCCACTGAAGAACTTAATGTGATGCATTTTTTAATATCATTTATTTTTCAGAGTGTCTGTATGTATATCAAACTTGCACTGAGATACCTATATACAGATGCTTTGAAATGGTCTTCTAGAGCCCACTACATTATTCTACATCCTACACTGGTTTATTACAAACCTTTGTCTTAACAGCAACATGCACTGCTTCAACATGTCACGGGTTTGGGGTTTTTATGAAGTATCAATATGAATTTACATCTCATCTTGTTGCAACTCTGTTTAAGGTTACTGATAATACCCAAGTGTATCCATCTATTGTGTTGTAATTTCAAGGTCAAATACATTTAAGTCAATGTACATCCAAGTGGGATTGTTGGGTTTTTTTATTACAGTTTGAAATATGCCAGTGCCATCTGTGTCTATTCCAAGTTCAGCTGACAAAAATCAGGATTGTTCCTCCTCGATACATAAACCTCCCCAAAAACCCAAAATCAGCCTCTGTAATGGAAGAGCACTGCAGTCAAGACTAAAGTACACAAGAAAAATACAAGCAATAAACTACACAGCATCCAGCTCTATTGTACCTAGCATTAGAAAGTGTTTCCTTACCTTCTGCTCCACACAAAAAGGAAAAAAAAAGGATAATACATACAAATACTAAAAAATAAAAGATTATATAAAATTTTATACAATGATATCTCAACATTTGGAGCATAAAAAAGTTAAGTGTAAAGTTCAAATTTAGAAGAAAGTCTCCAGTACATAGTGCCATTTAAATAGGCACTTAAATTCCACTAACTTCAATAGCCCTTAAGTACATACTTTATTGCTGTCACAAATCAGGACCAGTTGATATAATCCATCTACAGAGCAAGCAGACAACTGAAATTAATATATAAATCTGTATTCTTTACTTTTCTTTGGAGGCAGAACTTCCAGAAGATGCACACGCAAAAGAAAATTTCCTTAAGGATGAAGCATTGCGCAGCATGTCATTTAACTGACATTTACAGCCCTTCTTGACACCTTAGTAGCATACAGGATGAGCTTTACCCAGAACCTCCTCCTCTACAACTACTTACTATAACCATAACATTTTCAAAAGGCAACATTGTATACAATATTTGTTTCCCAAATCATTCATAAAAACCCCAGACTGTACGTATGAAATCTTACCTCCGATGGTATAAGTGTATCACAGGAAAATAAAAGAAATGCTTCTGCTTCCTGCATTTCCCCTGGTTCCACCAGCAATTTACAGCCACAAACAGCACCTGCAAAGCAGGCAAGAATTCACAGCTAATAAAGTACATTACTGTGACCTTCTTTATCTAACACATATTTTTTCCAATCCACTCCATCTTATACTTTCAGTATCTTTTCAAGTCAGCATTCCATATCTGCTCCTCTTAATTCTATCACACAAGACTTTCTTTTAAATATTATTATTATTTTTAATTTTTTTTTTTTTTTTGCCATTTTGCAACAGCAATTCTTTTGGTCACTTTTCTTTCTAGTTTTTAAGCTTCTTAATCTGAATCCTTCAAATTTACTAACTTAGTCATAATCCATATTAATTACTTTTTCTGCAGAGTGGAGCTCAAGAACTGGAGGTTTACGACAGCTGTACCTGTGACGTGTTCACTGGTAACCAACTGCTAGAAAGCAGTGCTATGGCTGCAATCTTACATGATTACCAGTGTCTCCAAGGATCCTGGAACTGGAAGCAAACTCCCTGTAATTTCTGTCTGAAGGCAGGTGAATGAATCTGAGAACACTTTACAAGAGAAAACTTGTAGAGTTCCCCATTCAGGAGCAGAAATAACAGACAACTGAGCAGGAATCACAGGTTTTCTCCATTTATTCTAACACTCTGTATGCTAAATCAGAATTAAGACGAGTGGCTGAGTTACCCTAAAATATGAGCATTCAAGTCCTACTGGTTCCCATGGGATGACAGAAATTAGCATCAGCTTGGGGTAAAAAGCTATCAGGTCATGTTTAAGATTCGTATCTTCTCTGGAGTTACCTGGTCTGACAATCTGCTGGCCACACGTTCTACTTCTTCTCTTGCTGCAATGGACTGGCCACACCATGGCGCATAGAAGAAATACAGCACAATTTCTGAATCCTGACGAAGGTGATCTGCATAGTCTAACTGTCCCCGAAAAAGATCAATGACTGGGGATCTTGAGGAGAAAAAATTCACTGGAAGCTTCGCTGGCATTGTTACATCTTTTGCTCGGCTGCAGGAAGGAAATTAAGAGTGGTTATTGAGACTGTACAGCAGTAGTTAAAAAAGTGTGCCCAAAGCCCTAATTTTAATCTTAGCAAACGTCATGCAATGACAAAACTTTAGAAATTGATGCAAATTACTACAATTTACATTATCCAAATTAGTTTCATGAAACACCATAAAAATCTAAAGATCACCTTTAACAAGCTTTAGAAAGTCACACTGTGATACCATGCACTACGTTTATGGGTATGTTAGCTCACACTCTTATTGCTGGTTGCTATAGAGCGTAAAATTACCAGGAAGAGTGATTTCTTTGGATTTCTTCCCTGGCCTCATCCTCTTTTAACACTTGTACTTTAGGTAACAGCACCCTGATAAGAGACGAGACACTGGTCATAAAGTTTTGTGATGTGATGTTTATACAAACAGAGACTATTACCCTGCCTTAAGCTTTGCTTTAAAGTATTCTACACTTCTTTTATATTGTATTAGGAAAAAAATATGTAAATGTGCGTTAGTTTATTTTACTGATTAGAGCAGGGACTGCAAACTGTTCAGGGCACATTTCCTCTTCAATGTAAGGACAATATCAATAAATAGAGAGTCTCGATTTAAAGAGATTATGACAGAGTAAGTTTCTTAAGAGAAATTAGTTTGACCAGTAATAGCAAGAACATAAACCAGATACTCAGGAAATCATTTTCTATCAAATCAGCACTCAAGCAGTCCAGAACTTGGCATTTCCAAGGTGTTCAGCAGTTGTTATGGTATAAACTGCCTTAAATGCAAGTGAATGATCATATTCTCTTTTTTATAGTCTCTTAATTCCAGAATTTTCCACTAGCTATATTTACACTAGAGGAGGTCAGATTGAAAAGTGGACCACACCACTGTAATGCTCAATTCTGCCATGGTTCCTTGTGTGACAGGAAGTTTTAGAAAAGACTGTGCATTCCTTTACCTTGTACCACAATAAAAAGTTAATGCAAAAATCTTTTTACCTGATAGTTGATCCTTCTCAGGTTACAATTTTAGCAATTGTGATAAAATTATTGAGCCACACACACTGTCAAACTCATATGTTAAGCAACCTCCTAACAACGCTGCCACATTTTCAAACTTTACAATCATTCTGGTTTGTAAGAAGTACCTTTGTTTTTACAATACAGGCCCACAAAAGGCACAGCTCTTCTCTCATTTCCAGATTACTAAGCATACACTCAAAGCTCAGTAATTAAGAATCACTCCCAGTATATTTTCTAAAAGTTATGGAAATTGTTAATTCATATGTAAGCGACAATATTTGCTTCAAAACCCAGGATTTTGAAAATGTTAACTGTTTCCTCATGTTTACAATTCATTAATTCTACTATTCACAAAATTATGTTTTCACACAGGTCGTAAAAAATCTAGTTACTTCTAGTTTTGTTCCTTCTTCCCCAGCCCTTAGGTTCTTATGCCACCTCACAACCAACACCTCTGGCTCCCTCCCATTCCTGCACCCCGTGCTTATCTGAACTGCTAGCTTCTTCCCGTGATTTCTAACCAGCCAGTGGACAGGACACAACACTGATGCGCTACGGCTCTAACACTCAGGTCAGCATACACACGCTGATTAGCTGCTGAAAACGAAACACGGCCACTAAGTTTGATCTCACACTAACGCATACTTCTTCAGAGACATTAACTAGAATTTCTCCTCTTTAACTAGCTTAATGAAAATGGACAACCTAAATGTGTTTAAAACCTCTGCTTCCTCTACTGAACTAAACTGAAAGTGGACAATTGGTTCAAGAGTTACAGCGTAAGCCTTAAAAATGAGATAGGAAATTGCTCCAAACTGCAAGAAAGTGTAAAACAGATCCAGCAGAAGTCCCATGACACGAATGAGTCAGGAACTACATGGCTACCTTCAAATATGAAAAAAACTCCAGTAATTATTAAAAAACAAAACACAATAAATCAATAGCTACCAGCTTCTTAAACTGATTTGCTCAGTAGCATCTCCCTCTGCAATACCAAATGTGTAACAGAGTATTTGCACATAATTCCCAGGCTTACAAAGAGAATAGTGCTCTGAACCCCTAAAAGTTATACAAGTATAAACTGAGGATTATATAATAAACGATTATACAAACATAATAATCACATACAGTTTATTAAAACACTGATTGTGCTATTTACCTGCTGCAGAGCCTATAAAAACTTAAACTCATTTCAACAGAACAACCTGGTAATAAAGGAAAGCACATGCAAGAGCCTGTAGGATCAGCCCCTTTGACTGCAAGGTCCTTAGAGTTTGGTTGTCTCAAAAGACATTTGCATAGTGCCAGAAATAATTCAGGTTCTAAACCACAGGCTTTCCATAATACATGTTAGGTCAGGCTTCATTTGGCTATTCCTTGAGCCACTATAAGCCTGCAATACCTCAAACCACATTAACCAATTGCCTTGTAGTAAAGGAATTTTCCTTTCCATACTTTTTATCCATTGGTCTCGAAAGTTACGTGTTGTAAGCGTAGTGGTAGTAACTACTCTGGTGCTGAGACTTGCTTGCAAACCATACTGATGTGTGGTGAGAAACTGTACACTGTAGTGATAGTTAACGTGCAATCAACCATCCTCCAAATTGCACGTGGAATTTTTACACTTGAATTTTCTATGCTTCTGACAGCAACAGAATAGGGAATACTTTTCTGATATTAGTTTGTCTATTTAACTACAATCTGAAAAGCCAAACCCCTTTAATCAAACTTCCTGTACAGAGTACGGGGTGGCAAGAGGCACATTCCAAACACATTCCATTTGTGAGCTTTCAAACACAGCTAGCAGTAAAATGAAAGGAACATGCAGGTTTTAAATAAAGGAGAGCAGGAAGAAAACAGAAGCATCATTTTAAGTGTAAATAAAAAAAAATATATATATTTTTAGTAACGGACAGTAAAACAGGGAGGTGACAGTTCAGAAATCCTTCACCATACATTCTGTAATACAGCAAGAGCTTTACACTTTCATCTAAATCATCTGGTCACTGTGAGATACAGACTACTGGAACAGAGGCACTACTGGAACAGAGGCACTACTGGAACAGAGGCACTACTGGAACAGAGGCACAACTCATTCATAGGCTTAAAATTCACTCCAAATAATACATGCTCTGTGGACAGGTGAGAAAAGGCGGCCTTAGTATGTTTCAGAAGCATTACCTGTGAATCAAGTGTTTCTTGGAATAAAAACCTGACAGATCCTGCAGAATAGGGAAGTAATCAGATCCTTGTAGCCTTCTCCCACTTCCAAAATTAAACCCCAAATGCAGCAGATGTTCTTAAATTAATATAGTATGACTTGAACAGTCACCTTGACCTAAAACCCATCTGGAACATTCAGATCCCACTTCAGGCTCCAGAAACGAGCTGTCCAGCTGCAGCACAATTACGTGCCTACCGCACATCACCCAACTCCCTCCGCACTTCCAGCTGCAAATGTCATCTGGTTCCACGAACCCATTCTCAGCAAACACGACGGCTCTCAACTGGAACCACAGAGACTTTCGCAATGAAGAAAGTCCTCCCAAGAGGAGCACCACCAGACTCGGGGAAAAAAAAACACAAAGCACCTTTCTGTCTGAAGCAGGTGCAAGTAATGGGGGGTGCCGACACTAACGCGTGAGCCAGAAGAGACCTGTTTCCCCCCACTTTGTACCCCCACGCTGACGCAGCTGGCTGAGCGCGCTGAGGGACGGCACGCTTTCAGCCCTGTGCCCCCTCAGTCCTTCTGCGGCAACGCGAGGCACGAGTTAATTCTCTGGAGGTGAGGAAAAACAGCTTTCTTGACAAAGCGCCTGTCCCTCAGGTGCGAGGGCATCCACGTACCTACCGCCA